CGACAGAGGAGGGCTGGTGGAGGTGCAAGGAGGAGGAGAAGGAGGAAGAGGAAGAGGAGGAGGCCCGGAAAACTCCAGCCAGCAGAGCGCGTTTTGACGACGCGACTTTCTGGTCTCTTCTCTGCTGCTGCTGCTGTTGCTGATCCTGCTGCTGCTGTTGCTGTTGCTGCTGTTGCTGCTGCTGTTCGTGTATGCTTCTCGCGCGCGCGCGCGCCGCAGCAGTGCGATTCGTGCGTCGTGCCGACTTTTGGAGCACTGCGGCCGCGCCGCGGGTCGGGGCATGCCACAGCCCGTTCGGATATAAGTATCGTCGTGCGTGCAGCGCGTGAAGCCGTGCGCACTCGACGATCTTCGTCCGGCAGTCAGTCGTACCGTGTACGTCTCACCGTACTTCGACGCTGATCGTCCTCCTCCTCGTGGACGTTATCGTCGTCGTCGTCGTCGTCGTCAACGTCGTCTACGTCGTCGTCGTCACCGCCGCTCACGCAGGCGCCCTGACATCGACGTCGCCACCGCCATCGCGGCCGCACCGGAACCACCACCGCGACGCCTGCCTCCCTCCACAACTACGTCCATGCCGCTACCACCCTCTTCGCAACCCTCTAGTTACATATAGGGTGTCTTGAAATCGTGTCTCTTGAATGTTGTTTTAGCTGTAAAGTCTATGATGAAAAGATAGATGAATTTTTATCAATTAAATTTAGGGAAAGTTGTAATAGAAAAATTATACAATTATAATTTCAAATAACACAATAAATAGAAAGCGAAAAAGAGTAAGGCAAATTTTACTTTGGAATGAAATTTTTTCATATTAATAATGTTATAAGCAATAATCGATATAAGAACTAATTACTGAACAAAAATGTTTTCAGAAATGCTGAAAATATAAAAAAAATTCGAAATTACGCAAGAAAATTGTGCAGATATTTAATCTTAATCAGTATTCGCAGGTTTAGTGAACATTTTCTTTAATTACATTGCGAAAAATTGTTTATAATAAATATTTCATAATCTTACATAATTTTAAATTAAATTATCTTATTTCTCGGATTTTGATCTTCAAAATAAAAAAATCATTTAGTTTCGTTAACTTTAAGTAAAGTTAAATATCAGTTAAAGACCGTAAATATCAGGTAAAGAAATTTTGGAGCGAATACCGATTAGGGTTAATCGAAACATTTTTAAGAGTTAAAAAATTAAGTTTCGTTTTTTTTTATTTTTGAAATACATAGGTAAATAGAAACTTTATTTTTTAATTAATTTTAGAACTGTTTTCTTGAAAAATTGAGTTTAAGATTTATCAAAATATTCAGTTGAAGGCGAACAATAAATATGAATGACAATCACAAAGTTTTCATAAAATAAATCAGGTTTCGATTCCTTTTATACATTCTGCGGTAAAAGACCATCAGTAGAACCGAACATCTAAAAAAATAAGATCCAATAAAATATGATTTTTCTATAAAATTCTTTAACTCTTTAAATTTTAATTGAATCTTCTCAAATTTTATTCTGGAGCTTTTGGAGAGAGGATTTTCGGAAGAATGATATTATTGCTGTATAAAAGAAATCGGAAATCCTGATGTATCCTCGAGGACTAGAAACTGTCTCAACAACAATCGACGCAAGTGTCACGAGGCGGCAGCGGTAGCTTGATAAGCGCAGCGCTCGATAAGAGTCGAGAGAGCCGGTTTCGGTTTACGTACAATGGGACAGAGAGAGGAAAAAAGAGAGATGAAGCGAGGTACAGCCTCCGTATGGTGTCCGGGGGATTAGAAACGACGCGTAAATAAAAATATCACGACGGGGGCGATTTATAGCGGTGGATAACGAGGAGATCGCGCGCGCGCATTCTCGTTGGAAGAGGAAGCGAGTGTACGCGCATGCGCACTTGCTACGATGGTGAAGCACAGGCCACGTCCGTAATTGCACGCGGTATCTTGCATGCCTTCTCGATGTAGAGGTACCGTCTTACGGGGAGGAGGCGGCGGCGACGCGCTGCCTCCGTCGCAGGTTGGCCGTAAATCTCTCATGATTAGCCACGGGATGCGAATTACTGACCGTCGACGACGGCATAGATCAAGACGCGGCCTACATTGTTCATAAATGCGCGTTCCCGCGCTTTGACTTGCGTAACGCCCATTCTACAAATTAGTCAAATATTCTCTTCATATTTGACTGCAATTGGTCAATTCTTACAACCACAACTATTTACAACTTATGCTTACACAATTGTAGAATAAATTTAACAAGACGGAATACTTTCATCCGGCGTTACCGCGTCGAGACTAATCTAATCGTTTTGACGGATTCTTTTTTGATATCATCGATAATGTGGGACGATGATAAGGTCTTGGATTTAATCTCTTTGCGATTAGCGCGATCGTTACTTTCTTTATTTTTTTTTTTATGTAAGTATATATCATGCTTAACTGATTTGGATTCCGTAAGAACTAAATGCAAAATCGTAAGACTCATTTAACTCTATATAAAAATATTAAAATAATATTAAAAAAATAAAAGGAAAAATTAAAGATAACTTTTATTTAAGGTTCGATCCATTCACCACGAATCTTTAGATTGATGACGTAAAAAAAAATGCATAATGAAAATTCTTGCAAAATATATTAAAATAGAAATATATCCTTTAATATTTTTAAATATATTCTTTATATATTTTTAAATATATTTTTCGATATATTTTTAAATATTTCTTTTAAATATATTTTTCTATATACTCACGCGCAAAAAAACCGGAATACTAAATTTCTGCACAAATTTTTAATATTTTCAAATAGCAATAACTCAGTAAAAAATTATCATAGCGAAATGTTTAAAAAAGCCTTTTAAAGCTTGAAGTCTACTCTCCAAATCGGTACTTTAAAAAATGGTCGTACTAATATTATGTGAAGTTACATATAAACATAAACGAAGATGCATAAATTCTCAAAATTTTTTACGAAATTTCACGAAGTTCCACAGCGCCAATTAAAAATTGCGCACAAATAGATTAGTTATTCAACATAGATTAGTTATTCAACATTGAAGCAAAAACGACCTTTTTGTTTCAATGTTAAATAACTTGAAAAACATTTCGCTATGATGATTTTTCACTGAGTTATTGCTATTTAAAAATATTAAAAATTTGTGCAAAAATTTAGAATTCCAGTTTTTTTGCGTGTGAGTGTATTTTTCAACATATTAAAATAGAAATATATATATATTTTTTTCAACAAAATAATATTTACATTTGAGAGTACATTTATATAATATCGAAAACTCATCTTTTCGGAATAGAATAAAATTATATTTATCTCAAAATTTGACAACTCATATATAATCATATATAGTCATATATTTTTTTTTGGTTAGGCATAATTCAATTTCAAATATATATAGTGTTATATATTTATTAATTGCCAGATCACAAAAGGAGTTTTATTGCAAATAATATTTTATTATAAAATGTTCACATTTTAGTATAGTTTGTAAGAATTTTCGATCTTTACGTAATTTTTTTGCTTCAACGTCACAATCTAAGATGGTTGTCAATAGTCGAGACAGACGTCAAGATAGAATTAAAATTAATATGTCTGTTTTCTGTTCCTGCACTAGACTGCACTAAAACTTTTTTTTTCGCTTTCGACAAATATCAAACATATACCTATTTCACTTTAAGTTCCAAAAGTGTATACTAGTTCAGCCACAGAAAACAGACCTCGTATATTTTTTTGTTTCTAGACCTTCAGATTTCAATCAAAATTTGAGTTTTTGCAATGAACAAGTATAAGATAATGGAATTAAACAATATGAAAGGATTTGTTTGTTACATCTTTTTTACCTTACGTGAGTGAGATGATTTCATATTCCCTCGATTATTCCGAACACCGTGCCGTCAAGAAGTATTGTCTTGGAATAAATATTACTTCTGTAATTAATTAATTGTTTAGAAACAATTAATTTAGACATTACTACGAAACGATGTACGACGATCCATTGAAAGAAACTCCCAATTTTCGCAATAGAAAAACGATTATCAAGACGAAAATATTGATATTTGAAACGTTGAGTCTGCAAAGATGGTCGCAATATTATATAGAGGGCGCCAGAGTGAGCTTGCGGCCGAAATTTTATAGAGCGCTAACTCACGGCCGGAAAAGGTACTTCCAGAGTGTCTATGGTCACGTCATCGCTTTACAGTCTAAAGTCACGTCTTTCGTTGCATTACGCAAATACACTCTGGTCCCGTCTGTCTGCATATCATTGCGTTTTGACGTTTTGGCAGGAACATCACCCGTGTAATAGTTACCTCGTTGTGTATTTAATCAACATTAATTTGCAAAATGAACAGGCTCTTTGGACGTGCTAAACCCAAGGAACCGCCACCAAGCATCACTGACTGCATCGCGGGGGTAAAGAAGATAATCTATTGTTAAAATATGACCATTGCTATTTTTTTATCGCGTTACTGCGTCAATCATAATATTCGTGCTGCAAAAATTAGCCTGATTTTACATTGAGGCATGATATGTCGATAGCCAGACGTTTTATAATTGTTTGAAACAATAGGGATCTATTTGTAAATACATAATGTTCTTCATTAAGGTTGACAGTAGGGCAGACTCTGCAGAAAAGAAGATAGCTAGACTAGATGCAGAGTTGAAGAAGTACAAAGATCAAATGGTTAAGATGAGGGACGGGGCAGCAAAGAATGCAGTAAAGGCCAAGGCTCTGCGTGTGTTAAAGCAGCGAAAGATGTACGAGGCTCAAGTAGATAACCTGCGTCAACAGGCATTCAACATGGAGCAAGCAAACTATGCCACTCAGACGTTAAAGGATACCCAAGCAACTGTAGTTGCTATGAAAGAAGGCGTTAAGCAAATGCAAAAGGAATTCAAAAATATTAACATTGATCAAATTGAAGTATGTTGGAAAATAATTTTATAATATAAATACTTTAATTAAATCTTTAATTTAATGCTACATATATTGCTGTATATACAGGATATGCAAGATGATTTAGCAGATATGTTAGAACAAGCTGACGAAGTGCAGGAAGCGATGGGTCGCAGCTACGGAATGCCAGAAATTGATGATGATGAATTGGCAGCGGAACTAGAAGCTCTTGGTGATGACCTTGCCTTGGATGAAGATACTAGTTACTTAGATGATGCTATTAAAGCACCTAGTGCCCCAGACAAAGAACCTGGAGCAAGTTCAATCAAGAACAAGGTTATTATTTAATATTGATACACACAATTTTTTCTGATCCTTTAAAATTTGTTTGTGTCACATGCTCCTATCGTAACTCTTACTCCAACACTTGGAGTGAATAGGAACTTTGGAGGATGTTTGGAGCATGTGGTGAAAACAAACTTTACAGGATGGGTTGTTTGTGTTCTGAAAATTGATATTTTTATCACATTTACAAATATAAAATTAAGTAATTATGCCTGTTAAAGTTAGTAATTATATCTTTATTAAAATTAAATAATTATATCTTACATATAGTTTAACGTCTTTGAAGTATTTGTAAAGTATGTATTTAAAAAATGTATATAAATGTATCATAACTAATTTTTTTTTGGTGCATCTAGTATTTTAAAGAAAAGAAATATATAGGACATGAATGATTATAAAGGTTAATAAGAATACCTGATAATATAATTCTATGCAGCAAGTTGATGTTATTTATCATCATTATGTGAAAACGTTATCATGTCAATTTCACATCCAAATGACAAATAACATCACCTTATTACCTGAAATGAAAGAGGATGTATAGCTTATGAATTCTTTAAAACTGTATAGTTAGTCAAGAATAAGAAAAAGAAGATAATTTATTTACATATAAAAACTGCTCAAATTTCTAATTGATATGTATGTTTTAAATGTGCTTACAGGATGGTGTTCCAGTGGACGAATTTGGCTTGCCACAAATACCTGCTAGTTAAATTTAAAGATACATCAAAATGTATAGATAAGGCAAATATAAGCTTAAGATTATTCGCATGCATGCCCAAAGACGTAAGATCCTTCAAAAACAAGACATACGGCTTTTAATCGATACTCACGCAACATAAATTAATGCCCTAACAATGTTTTGTTGACGTAACTTGCATAAAGGTATTTAGTTTACTTCTGTATCAATAGATTTTTGTTACTGTCTTCAAAGTCACTATTTTTATTATATAAATATTATATGTTGTACATAAAAATTAATAAATTAATAAATATTAATTATAAATGCAGGAAAATTTTTTGTTATACAAATGTATACAAATGATATAAGATTCATTCAAATTCTTCTTTTTCATCTTCTTTTTACAAAATTATTTTTTTGATTAAATTACTTGCAATCTAGAGATACTCGTCTCTTCCATATTTTGTATTTCTGCATAACATTCACATAAACTGAGAATATTTTCTTTGCTCTCAATAAAATGCGTTTCTTCGAATCCATGTACTTGCGTATAGTGATGAACATGTGCCTAAAATGCAATTTCTAATTTATAATAAAATGTATATTTTATAATCATGCAATCATGAATTTAATGTTGAAAAATAATTTTCGCAATCATTTTTGTTTATTGAATGATATATTTCAAGAATAACAAAAATGAACGATTTCAGAGACTAAAAAATTATGCCCGTTTTTTTTAAATATAAAGTTAGCTTTCATTATAATGTACCTTTTTCTTATACAATTTAGAAAACTCTCGGATTATATCTTTGAATAATGAGGACATGGCTGATGAATTAAGAAGACATAGCAATGATGATGAATGCCCCGCTGGAGGAACCGAACATAATCCTATTTTCATACAATCCTTACTCCATAAAGTAAATTTTGATTTGTTTTGAAATCTACGAAAAATAATATAATTAATATAAAATAATAATTGAACATTGCTATATGTCTATTTTAAAAAAAGCAAAAGAGATTAAACCTTTCGATATTTCGTTTTATGTCAGTCAAGGTAGTATTTCCCCTCGCAATGTGCGCTGCGGCAAGAATGACTGAAGTAGATTGAAGTGGATCTAATCTAATTAATTGATTATTTCGCGACCATGCATTCGTGAACATTTCGTCCTGCAATCTTAAATATTAAATTAATATTTTGCTATTTTTTAATTTCAAAACAAAATTTAAAAGAACAAGAAAGAAAGAGAAAATTAACATACTTTGTTTCTTGCATGGTGCACATATTTGGAGCAGATAAAGTGACAGGGCTGATACTACTGAATATATAATGTAATTTTGAATAAGGTACTAAATTTGTAGCTATTTCATTCATATCCATATTTAAACTTCCTGGAAACCTGGATCCACTAAAACAAATTGCTATCTTTACAATGCCAAATCTTGTAATCACAGATCTAAAATTTAATTACCTAGTCAAATGCAAGAGCATATTGACAACGATACTATTCATATCTTGAAATGGTTTGCACGAGGCATTATAATTTATTTGGCCCGTGTTATCTCGTTTATTTATTTGAGAATTACATATATCTAAGAGAGCTTTATTCTCTACAGGAAGTACACATGTGGCATGTTCTACAAGTTCTTGAGTTGCAAGTAATGTGTTGTAAGGGGCAGTTATAGTATCTTGTATATTTGCTGGATATACACATGACACAATTCTAAAATTATTAAATCTTATTTGTTAACAATTCTAAAATATCAATTATATGTAATCTGATCTTTATATTCTCAAGTTATATGTGATCAAGTTTTAAGATTTAATTAATCAACATCTAAGTATACATATTAATTAAAAAAGCACCTTTCTACATGAGGGTAATTATCTTTTAACAGTTTTAAGACTGCTGTTCCTAATCCAGATCCAGTGCCACCTCCCAAGGAATGCATCAATAAAAATCCATGAAGTCGATCACATTTTTCAACTATGCATCTTACACTTTCTTCTAAACGATCATGATAATCGTTACCATGAACATGATATCCTATTGCCCTAGAAATCAAATTATTACACTGCGAATTTTTGTAGTGTTATTTAACATATAAATGTCTTTTTTTCACAAACTACCAATTATTTCCAGATCCTGGATAATTCGTTACAACACATGTCTGATCAAATAACTGGCGTAATGGACCTTGCTTAAACCTAGATAGAACGCTGTCTTCCATATCTACTAAGACAGCCTGTTTCAGAAAATTATTATTAAATATTAGAAAATATGTGTTAACTTTTATTATTGCAGTGTTAAGAAATTAAATTAAGTAATATTAAATACACACCCTAGCTTTAACTTTAGCTGCATTTAAGTCAGCTACATCTTGAAAATGCAATTTAGAATTATTATTTGGAATATGAAAGAAACTAGAAAAGGCATTGGAAAGATCGCCAATATGTTTGACATGATTTCGTTGTACTTTGAGCAAATTGACACCACCGGTAGTAGTCTGAATGCCATATTCATGCAAGGCTAAGGGCCAGAAAGCTGATCCTATTTGATTCCCACACTGGCCAACTAAGATATTGAAGAAAAGAAAATAAAAAGCAAATTATTTTTCAAATCGCTGTCTTCATTGATAAAACCGTTTAAATTATGTCGGTTGTATGCATTTACCTTGCACTGTAACAAATTGACTCATTATTTTTATTACATCCAGAACCTAAGATGTCGATATAATTCGTCATTAAGTCCGACAATTTCTACAATAAAAATTATTTCCTGTCAACTTGTTACGTTTGAGACTTTACGTTTAAATTGTTTGTTTACTTCAATTGCACTCTTATGTTACGATTTTTACTATAAAATCACGTAAATAGATAGAGAGTTAAGATTTAGAGGAAGAAAGAGGAAAAGAAGAAGAGAAAGATACAAAAGAATCAATTACAGAAGAAACAGATGTTTTTGACGTGTATGAATAAAAAAGAAACAGATGTTTTTATTATATACACATAAATGTTCCGGTTGGCAGCCAACATATCACCTCGGCTCGCGAGATCTCGCTCATCTCGCAACACTCGAACAATCGATAAAGATCGATTCACTGCATCCGTTTTCTCGCAACAATCGACAATTCATGTTTAAATTTTTCATTTTGTCGGCTTTTCGATCTAACCGGTCTGACTAGTGCCAGCGGTATGCAGCGAGTTGTATGGCGAAAATAATATTAGTGAATGTGAAAGAAAATTTCGTTAAACCGGGAGAATGGATAGCGCAGCTGGACTGTCGAAATGGATTCTTCTGTGTCTCTATTTATCTCAATATGCGTTCGCACGTCGTATTCTCGACGAACCAAGTAAGCTTTAGTTAACCTTTCCATTGACCAGAAGATAAGCTCTTTGATGATTCTGTTATCAGAAATTGTGCAATTGAGAAAAGCAACAATAATATATCATTGATAATTAGCTGTATGATAACACATATGCCAGGCGATATATGTACTTAATCATTAAAATGCTCCGAACAAAGTGCACAGTCATGGCTACTTATTTTGTTATTAAAATGTAATAGTTAATTATATTAGGTGTTGGAATTAATTCGTAGCGTTTTACAAGTGATGGGAAGTACTTTCATTAATGTATTTTTTAATGCTCATGTGAAATAAATAACATTCTTTCATTAAAAAACGCTACGAATTAATTCCAATACCTAATACTTTCTTATTTCCTTAATCATTATATATAATTATAAGCTTAAAATATGCAAGGTTATTTTAATTATATTCTTAAAATATTGTTTTATTATTAAGTTGTTAACATTCAAACCTTTTCACAACTTAAAATTGACAGAAGGAAAAAAATTGCATTCTCTGTTTCTAAATGCTGTTAGACTAATTTATGATTGTAAGTATTATTTCTTATACTTTACAGTTATGATATATTTTGTTTCAGAAATACATTTTTTAAATGCAGATGACAGTGTACAAAATAATCATCCTGGTCTAAAAACATATTGTCACAATGCTACATCAAAGTACTTAACACATATGTGGAGAACAATGACTGTAAGAAGCTTTCAGGAATACACATATATATAAAAGATTTTATATGATACAAAATCTTTATAAATAAAATATTTACACATATGATATAAACTTTTAATATTACAGATGCACCTGAATATTAATTCAGACTCTTATATTTTATACGATGGCAAAACACCTCAAGAAATCCACCAAAAGTATGATGAAAATGATAAATCATGGAGTCTTAATCTGTTTGATACAGGAAAACATAGGCAATTTAAGATTAATCCATTTGAAGATACATGTATAGGTATTTATATAGATTCTCCCAGTGAATCTGTCTATATAATGACATTGAAAGAAACACGTAAGCATCTGAATTGTTTTGAGATTACTCCATTTTATATGTTAAAATAATTGACAATATAGTATCCTTTATCATCAGGTATCAATGTTTGGAGACTGACAATGATGGTAACAGGTATTATAGTTTTTTGGTGTGCCAAAATATTAAGTCGGAATTCATTGTTTTATTATGCCTGTGGCATAATACTTGGAGTCAGTTTATCTGTTATAATTTTAATATATGTGGCTGGAAAATTGATTCCACGGGTATTTATTTTAATATAATACATATATTTGTTTCTAATATATTTTTTAATAAAATATTGTATATACATATTTTTCTTGTTAAGGGAAAAGCTATGTACGTAATATTTGCTGCATCGATGAGTCTTTATATTGCTAAAACATTATGGGAAAACATGCAATTAATTATAATGCAATATAGAGAATGGGTGATGTGGTATGTTCTTGTTACATCTCTGATTAGTTTCGTAATTTGCTACCGTTTTGGTCCAGTTACCAATACGAGAACAAAACAAATAATAGAGTGGTTTTTGCAGGTAATGTGTCATCTTCTTGTGTACGTTCTTTTTTTTAATTTATTTTTAATTGTTTTATGTTCACATAGCTTGTAGGATTGGCACTGATTTATCATAGTAGTCACTTTCATGAAGCATCCTTTTCATGTTGCATTATTGTTATACTTTTCTATAACTTTCCGAAAGCAGCATTTGGGCGAGCAAAGAGGTATTGGTAAGCATCGATAGGATGTAATATATAATTGTAATATATAATTGTATTCGTTGTTTTAGTCAGCTATGATCTATGTACTGCACAAACTTACAATTGTGTGAAAATTCATTATATATACACTTTTCTCCTTTTGTTTGTTGTTTTTCTTTTTTGTTATCTGTATGCATTTATACTAATTTTATAATAATTTATAGTTTTGTGGATACTTAATATTATTTGAATAATAAGTTATGTACATGTTGCTAATGCTTAAATTAATATATATTTATTTATTAGTGCACAATTCTATCTTAAGTACAATTATGTATGTTATATTTACTTAGTTTTATGTACTATATATAGTTTTTATTATAAATATTCATATACTTTTATTAAGCTTAATACGTTCAAACAATTTATGAGTAATTTTTGTACTTACAATGTATCTTGTATATTGAGCAGTTGTATTTTTAGTTTTTGCAATAAAATGCATTATATTCTCTTTTAGGTTGCATTTCATCTTTATACTAATAAATTTTATTTAGAATTAATATTATAAATCTTACAAATATCTACATAAACAATTTATAAGCGCATTAATAACTAACTTGTCAAATATCTAATCCTTATTATTGGATATGTTTGGGCTGTATAAATTTTCCAAATATGCAATAATCAATTATATATTAAGTACACGAAGATTTTTTATATTTTTTTAATTTTATCTTTGAACATGAAAACGAATGAGGTAATAAAGAGCTTTTTCTTTTTCTTTTTTTAAATGAGGCAACACGTGTTTCCGGAAAAACGAAAATTAATTAATGAAGACCAATATCGTCAAGAAGGAATACGACAAACTAGGAAAGCTTTAAAAGGATTGCAAAACTATTGCTCCAGTCCAGAATGCAATCCTTGGAAGACAGTTTTAAAATTGAAAGATCCGATAAGGTTTCAATCTATTAAATTTAATATTACACAATACGTAGTAGCAAAGCGTCGTAATTATCAATATAAATATGAATCTTTCAGATTTGCGAAGTTTATGGAAGGAGAATCGCATTTATTAGAAGATGAAATCGAAGAACACGAAGAAGAAATTTCGAAAATTTTAGAAAAAGGGGAATATACGGATGATGATGATGACTCTTTCTGAATAGAAATGCATCTTTTCTCCTAGATATTGATCCCAATCTGAAGAGTACTTATCTGAGATACTTACAGTATCTGAATACAAGTGCTTAAATAAGAATTTCATAAGAAGTATCATGCAAAAATTTATATTTACTTCTTATAACGATAGTTTAAGCCTAATAATAATATATATAGTATTTATTTTTTGTTTGCGTGTTAATAAAGATTTTTCGCCTAAAGAGATTGTGAAATAGGTACTTAAAATAATAATATAAATTAATTTGTTTATATCTTCGCTTAAACAATTCTATGTGATGGATTTCTCAAAAATATGTATAGCTATACATGTTTATGAAATAATTTTTTTATGAAGATGACGTGTGTGTTATATTAGTAATATTTTTCTGATTATACGAGAGAGATTGCATAAAAATAAATAAAAATTTTATAATCCAATTATTTTATTGTTTATTTTCTTTACTTATTCCTATTTTTTTCTATAATCTATCGTAATATTGTCATAATTAAGCATATATGACAAAATCTGAATTGCAAAAATATTTATACATATTAAAATATTTTATTAGTTTAAACAATTTATACTTTGTTTACATTAATGTTGTATAATATTTTTTAATACATAACAAATTTATTAATTTTTTTATATGTATGTTGATTTTTCGCCAATTACATTGTAACAGATAATTTAATTGTTGCTTTATTTTAAAGCTGTTATATATAACAATAAAGAAAATATCTAAATAAGTTTTTATAAAATATTGCTTTTTTTAACTTTATAGTTTTTAGTGTGTTTAAAAAAAAATGAAAAATTGAATTTTATTTAATGCCTATAACGGTCGGATCTTATGTTAGATGCTTTAAATAATTAGTGTGAATTTATATATTAAATATGTAATCATTTGAACTGCGCGCTGAATTGATTTTCGGATTTTAAACGCAATTAAACTATTATAGTAATGTTACAAATTAAATTGACATTTAATTTGTAACATTACTATAATAGTTTAATTGCGTTTGAAGTCCGAAAAATCAATTCGGCGCGCAGTTCAAATGACTATATTTAGTACTTATATAAATTTATATAGAAATTATTAAAAACATCTAACGTAAGATTCAGTTTCAACCGTTATAAGCATTAAACTCTTATTTGTTGTTTATTCACATATACCCGGTAAAAAATTTGGTATGCATGAATATGTATAAATGTATATAAATATACATAAATACGCATAAATATTTATTAAAAAAATTAAGTTTGAAGAAATGTAAAAACATTACTTACGTATAATTATATATAAAATTATGCATAATTATGTATGAGCGATTTTTTTTACATTTTTCTAAACTTGTTTTTTTCTAAAACAAACAATGCAAAAATTATCTTTTTAATTATTTTTTTATGTTTTCACATTACTATTATTATTTCTATTACACTAAGTAATTTTACAAAAAAAAAGGATATATGAACATATAAGGACTGATAATCATAATTATACATATTTATGAATATTTCGGCGTGTTTATGTATGTTTATACATATTTACGCATAAAAATTTTTTACCGGGTACGATCTTAATAAATCGTTTATTATTGAATTTTAACTTGGAACCTGTTTAGTAATTTGTAAAACTTTATATAATATATTGAATGCAGTGATCATAGTATTCATTTGTTCAGGTAATATTCCAGTGTCCTTTGCTTTATTCAACACCGCGTGCAAAACGGGTAGAAATACTTTTAGAAAAAAGACCTTCGCCACTTCAAACATTTTGTCAAATAATGCATTGATTATTCCGCGTCCGAAATTGACTGTGTTTTGGATAACTTTCTTAAACTGATTTAGCAATGTCGAGATGTTAGCTGAAGCTATTTCGGATACATCTTTTCCAGTCAATAAATCACTTATAAAAGTCATGAAATTTTTATCTGTGGATTTAACATCGTTAAATTCCAATAAGCTTCTGAGTGCGTTTATGGGAGTTGGTATAACTGATAAAATGGTTCTCTTGTATCTCGCGAGAGATCTTTCGAAAGGCACATTTGCAGAGTTTTTGTAATCTCCATTATCTGAAAAAAATGACACATTAAAAGGATAATTATTGTATAATATAAATATTAAATTCTGTATTAATTTTATCTATTCATATTTTATTTATATAAAACTATACTATAATATTTAATTATATTAAGGTATTGTTCTAAATAATTGTTCTTTTTTCGAATATATAAAAATCTTTTTCTCTGAAAATGATTGCTGCCAAAGTGTTTGAAATTTGAAATGTTTAATTAAAAATGTATTATTTTTATAAAACTTATGCACACCGCATTTTCATTTGTCTATTTTATTTGTAAAATTTATTTTAATATCGAGAAATCTATACTATTTTTTATATAAAAATTTTATTAATTTATTTAAAAAGTGCATATTAAGGAGTGATTTAGTAAAAACATTTTTTTTAAATATTATTTGGCCTATATATTAATCCGTAAATGACAAAATTCTGTTTGTTTCATAACGTGTTACTTAATGTCATAATGCTGTAAACTATTAAAATATAATTTCATCAAAAATTAAAATATTTTTAAATAGTAACGCTAATATTACAATCATATTATTAGTATGTTATTGTAAAACTTACTTTGTATTACTTTAGTCACGTAATCTCCTTCATCATATGTCTGGCAGGCACCGTACACTACAGTCAGACAAAGAATCAGAAGTGGTATCTTCATTTTGCAAATGATTAGCTTTACTTTATTAGAAGTATCAAAATCTGTCGATTTCGACTGGCGTTTTTTATTTCCTTTCTTTTCTCGTCGGAATTTTTTGCGATTAGCCACTTTTCTAACGTATGTCGCTCCTTTTTATCGTTACCTTTTGGTAGAAATCTTCGACAGAATTAATTAGTTTAATACAATCTTTTGACAACCTGACGTTCTAGTCGTCTTAATTGATTCCGTAAGTGATAAAAGTTTCAAATAATGTTCGGAGCAGACAGTGCGATGTCTCGAATTAATGTTCTATTTGCTAATTGCTCCCGGTTATTTGCATTCGAACATTAACTTGATCATTTATTTTGTTCTACGTTTTATTCGTTATATTAACAACTTTTGCTTATTTTGACGATAAATATAAATTTGCACTAAACTTGTTTGCTTACGAAGACAGCATTTGTAGAACTAACAATACAAACGACTTTTCACGGACAGCATTGACGCATACTGTGTTACGTATACAAGTCCTCGTTATCGGTACTAATTTCACATGGAAAAACGTTTTCGATATCTACAGTGACATTTACGGTCTATCTATACCTTCTTTCTATTATCGCTGCATTTTTGGCGTAATGCGATACATTTTGGTTTCCGGGTATATTTATTAAATAAAATGACAAGTTATTTTGTGAAAACGCTCGAAATAGATACATAACTTAAAATGCTAAACATTAATAAAATATTGTTTTCATACTTGCACAAATGAACCTTGTCGAAATAAATTGCCAATCAGTTCTGCTATTTTTCAAAAAAGGATATCGGTTTTGCTGACATAAGTTGCATTTTCTAGCTAAGAAACTAAGATAATGCATGTACATACATATCATATATTATGATTTTAATAGTAAGAATCAACGATCTTATAAAAATAATCACAAATAATCACAATCTAATTGCTTATAAGTAATTATTACTCATAAATATTTCGTTAAAAAATATATGATCATTATTAACTAATTTTAAAAAAATAGTAAAAAAAGATTTGTCATTGTATTGTATCATGTAATTTATTGTATTAGCAAATACAAGAAATTTAAGATTAATACTTGTATTAACATTATAAAGATATGGATAAAATAATATTAATATATTATTTCGCTTTATTAGGTAAATGTCGATCTAATGATATATTCCTCAGACTTATGTTATCAATCGAATCAATTTGTTTGTGCCTTATTTTATTAACTATTTCATCGAACGTTCGCGAAATGCAGAAATCGTGGAGTCCATTGGACGTAACAGATAAAAAAATTGATTAATCGATTGTTCATTTCAAATTTTTTATCACATGATTGAATAATTAGGTGAAGAAACAACGACACAATAAATAGTAGTCTATGATTTGATGCAAGCAAGAGCGCCGCGAGGAGTGCACTTGCACCCTCCTGATTCATAAAATAATTAAATAGGAAATAGGAAAATTTACAGGAAAAAGAAGTCGCGTAATTATATAATATAATTTTTTTAATTGAACAGAAATTCAATGCATAAATGCTAATTAATGTAATAAAATTTTAAGAAATCCATTTTAGAAAAATCAATGTTGAAACGAAAATTTAATTATTGCAGTCCAAATTTGTTCGTCGTATTATCAACGAATTCATTAATAGATGCAGTCCATTTGATGCTACGAATGCTTCGAAACTTTTGATTGATCAATCAGAAGAAAGAATTTTATTAACTGACCAATCAAAAAATGCTTTGAAGCATTCGTAGCATCAAGTGGACCATAGCCATTATCTGCAATTGGAATTCGAATTTGAATTCTTCTGAGTGCACCCTCTCCCCCCTGCAAATAGTTTTGCCAGCGCCCATGGATACAAGCCAAATTTATTATTAGAAATCAAGCTAATCAAAGTCAAGAAAGAAAACTTATTTAAAGACCAAGAGTATAAAAATAAAAGAAGAAAAGTAAAAATTCGTAGTTGTATCGGAAGAATTAAACATAATAACATTATGACTGACAATGAGTTAAAGATTGGATATCAGAAATAAAATAGAAATTATGAAATGTTAAAAGCAAATATGTTTTAGAAAAATATTTCGAACGTTTATAAAACCCGATCTACAATTGCGTAAAAATAGTTGTAAGAACCGATTTTAGTCAAAGGATGCACCGCAAAGGCTGTACCGTATCCGAACTCACGCGATAAAGTTTCTTAATAAAGCAATAAATATTAAATAATTATTAACAATGTAAGTTTTTTAGCAAATAATCGATAAATTACAGTATATTTTATTTACATTACAATATATTTTATTCACCTTTGATTACTTATTACACATTTCATTACTGGTAATATAATATTGTAATGTATTTATTATTTTAATTTGAAAACGTTTTTTGTAAGGCTGACTGACCCGCAAAAATTGCTTGCATACAATAACAAATTAAGTTGGTAGCAACTTAGCAAGTTTATGAGAAATTGACTCATGGATCTTACTTGCATATACACTTAATTTGATTTTATAATATTGATTTAGTATCAATATTATTTAAATTGTTAGTCAATTTAATGGTGATATTACTACTCTGGTTTTGTTAATAAATACGTTTTAAGACCAAAAATATTTCGGCGCACGTTTGCAGAATTGGACATGTATATAAATTCATACAAAAAAATCTGCGCACTAATTGTAAGATTCAGCTTAACCGCATAAAGGCCTTTTTTTGTTTATTACTTGTGTATATCATATATGCGGTCTTAAAGACATTTTTATGTTTAAAATTTACGTTTAAACTGTTATTATTAAAAAATATATTTTATTTTTGTTGTAATAATTTTTCTTTGAATTCCAAGAATTTCCGCATTTTTTTGCACCCGGCTCCATATTAGCTAGAGCAGGCCTTGATTATAAGTATAAACATAGTTGTAATTGTAAGGATTGACCAATTATAATTGAATACAAGAAGAATATCCGACTGTGATTGGTGATGTCTTGTAATTATGACCACTTACAACTAATATTTACGCAATTGTAGATCAGGCTTAAAGATTATTTTGCAATATTGTAAAACGTTAAAATAATCGTAAATAAATTATATTTATGAACAATAAATACAGTTAATAAATACCACATACGTATGAAATAAATATTCTGTATTGAATTGTAAATTAAGATTTTTTTTAAATTTAATATGTAACATTTCAGAAATTAAATTTCCAACAATTATTCAATGTCTAAAATTTTAATGTTCTCCCAATCAAATGATTGTAATTTCTATGTTCAGTAATTATAGAATGTTTAGACATTTTCTATGTAATTAAATATAATTCCGGTATTTTGTTTCCAGTTATCTATTTGTTTATCCTACTTAGAACGCACATCACAATTTTTAAATAAAATTTTATATACATATATATTATATATTCTTTCAGTCAGTTATGCATGGTCATACAATTGAAGATCTTAATTAACTGAAAGCTATAAAAATTTACAATCTTTCTTTCATTTTCTAGAAGAAACAATATTTGATTGTTAAACTCTTTAAAGTAAGCTAAACATTGGTGATAACATTTGCAATAAAATTCCTTTTATCTGCATTCTGTTTATGCAAGTTTATGTTCAGTTTCAAATATTCGAATTCATATTAGAGCTTATTATCTAAATTATACATAATAGGAGTAGTAATTTAGATATTAAGAGCTCGATGTCCTTGACTTGAGTTTTTTAAATGTTAGTTTGGAACTATAAATAGTATAAATGATAGACAAGAGAGTGCAATAAATACATATAACAATTCTTTCAGACAACATAGAATAATAAATATTAATGAATATTTATTATAAATATTCATAAATATTAACATATTTATGAATATTTATAATAAATATTCATAAATATTTTATACTTATTTTATATAAGCTTACTCGAAAACGTTGATAAAATATATATAAATATTTTATCTACGATAAATATTTCGTAATTTTTATAATAAATATCTATGATCTGTGCAATATAAGACCATACAAATATTTACAAAATATTAAAAATAAATCTTACATATTTTGTGAATATTCTAAAAATATTGTATGTTGTCTAACCTATTACTGCACATACACTATTATAAATCGACATACAATATGCGAAAAAATAAAAAAAATTAAGTTTTATGTAACGTTCTTTTTTAATTTTTTAAAATTTTAAAAATGACTGATGCACACTGTTTCGTAAGGTACATTAAGTACGTTTTAATATAAACTTTTTCAATTTTAAATTTTAAGCTTTAAATATTTTAAAAATTAAAATTTTTTAATTTTCGAGGCTAACGTACTTTGAATATCATGCACAAATGATATGGGCAATGACAAAAACAATTTTCTTAGCTTCGTGTATGCAGAATTCTATTTATCTGAACATGTCGAGGGATAAGACAAATTGTTCAATTATCGGAATTGTTTTATATTCCTCAATATGTTCGGATAAAATGAATTTTAATTATATACAAAGCTAAAAAATTATTTTTTGTTATTGTGCATATTAATTTTAATTTTTAAAGTATCTAAAATTAAAAATTTATTAAATTCATATTAAAACATTAATGTAAAGGAGATCGGGTCAGTTAAATATAGGGGTAAGTAGCATAATCGAGGCTACATTAAAAACAAAACACGTGAGACATGCGTAAATGTGTCTGAGCACGCAGCAGCGACTTAGGCTTATTTGACGTGTTTTTGCACGAAATGAACAAATTTTGCAAAAAGAAGTATTGTTTGCCCTGCGAAGCGAATATTTGTGTTAAAAATATTTTTATAAAGTTTTATTAATATGTAGCCAAAGATGTAGCTTAAAATATAGTAATCTTTATTTTAATAATCTTAGTCGAATTATCCCCGTCCCGGGGCTAATTGAATCAGATGGAATGCATTAGAAAAATGCATTTTTTTCATATTGTTATCAGTTTCCCCTTATTATTAAAATATTATTAGATAATCAAATGTACGTAGTAGCTGGTGTAGAATTTTTTCGATAAGTCTCTTAATTTTATCTGTAAAAATTCGAAACTGAAAAATGAGTCTATTAGCCCCGGTTTCCCCTACATTACACTACTTCGTAGTGCGCGCTTGAGATATGTAAAACTAATTTTATAAAAAGGGTTACACAAATTAAATGTGAATATGTATAATCCTAACATTTGATCAAGAAATGTTCATAATGCTTACATTATATATTCTTTTATTAAATATTCCTTGATACGTAAATGTGAATAAATATTGCTTAATCTATACTAAAAATCTTACCGATGTTGTTTGATGATTAGACTTGAGAAGAATAATAAATCATCATAACATCAACAAAATTATGTCAAAATGATTTCAAAATTGTCACGAAAAATTTATCGGTCATTTTTCAATTATTTATGGTTCACTTTAACGTTATTTTGATGTTATCGTGACTTCTTATTCTGTTTGGAAATTTAAATCGAATATACACTGTATATAAATTATTTTTTTTTAAAAGCTTCGTGTTAGTAGGACAAATCAATAATGCTGATAATCTCTTACATAATTCCTAGTCTCTATAATTGTATAATTGTATATCCATAACTCAGTCACGTTAGTCACAGTTTTCATTAGCTATAAAAATTATTATAGTGTAACAGGCTGTTATTAAGATTAGATTCCGTGATTATTGAATCAGATAATATTGCTTTCATATCATTTGATTCATATAACGGAAATTTCCGTCGATCATTCATTTATATAAATCCATTTGCAAAGTTCGCAAATCGTTTTGCTCATTGCTAAACAATATTTCATTCCACTAACAATGTATAGCAAGAATTGTTTGAATAATGGCTTGACTCGGTTTACCAGTGAGTAAATATGTGCTAAAAGAGCAAATACATAATTAATGCCAAACTCGCGGAACCGGGCGTGCGTATCAGGCGATCGTGTTTACTTAAGAAAATGGTTTTATTCTTGGCAATGCAGTAATAGTTTCGATTTCGTTGCATACAAGCGCAGTCGCGTGAACCTTTATGTCACGTTCGAATCAATTATTTTACAAAACCGATCATTTTAATCCGCGGAATTGTACAATTATTACGGACTCAATTATATAAAAAAAAGTTCTTGATCCGATCTAGAAATGCGATCAGGCATGCGATCGGAGTGCAAATAAAACTTTTATTATTACGTTCTAACATGCATAACGGTCGGGTAAGTCGCTATCTGACATTTAAATGAAATTGACTTATACTTTTTTTGCGGTAGTTTACGAAGGACGCAATGTGAATGTAACCAGAAAATGTATCGAATCTGGGATTTTGTGTATTGTATTCAACCTGATCATCGAGCTGAAATCGGTTGAATCCCTGCTGTCGAATGATCATCGATTTACACAGTTGTACGAGGAAGAATGTTTTGCAAGTCCGATCTGTGCTTGATCATAGGCCTGATCGTTTTTGTATTCGATCTCACGTGGAGTCAACTAATCAGGCCAGTTTATGTGTACGAGGGTCTGATCAAGAGTATCCGTGACTATTTTAATAACACGTGCATTGTATTCTTGCACAGTAATCCGAATCTTATTGAAACACAAGGTGAGAACAATGCAAAATCAGAATATATTGCATCAATCAGAATGATTCTTGGATGCTAATGCAATCGACTTTTCGTATATTGGAAGTTCGCACTTTGCAGGACTTATGGAAAATGAACACTTACTGGCTCTTCAGAAATACCTGAGCATGACCCATCACATACGCACCACTTTCATGGATTTTCATATGTTCAACACACGAGTGAGCACATAAAGAAAAAAGGGATTTGCCTTTCTTCTATAATCAGTAATATTTAATTATTAAACAAAGAGAAATCCTTGTTGAATTGAGAATTCCTTTGTAACAAAGCGCTATATAATAAATAGCAAGATTATTTTATGCATCTAATTGTCACAAATGATGCATTTATCTCTTACCAAAGAAGAAGACATTTGATTGTTTGCAGATTGGGCAAAGTTATTTTCACATCAAGAGACCTTTGTTCATTCTGCTTAACGACCATGAAGATACAAGGGATGGTTTTGCTCATGTAATTATTTTTTAAAAGTTTAAAGAATATTAATAAGACTTAATTTGTTATTCAGTTATTACGATATATACAATATTATTTTTATTCTTAGGACCATCACATATAAAATTACATAATCATAGCATAAGGCCCCTAGACAATGAGTATCTTATGTAAATCAACATGGAGTCTTTATGTTGGATGCTTATTATTGGTTCAGTGACCTTATGCTATGATTATGCAGCTTAGGATAACTCCGGTATATACGCCGCACCTATTAAAAACGTAATTTATTAAATATTATTTATTATGTTTAAAATAAAAAACTATCAGTAAAAACTTTGTACTATCTACTATTATGAAAAAAATATTAGAAATCCGAAATATTTATATTTCGTATTAAAAAATGAATTTTTTTAAACCCTTGCATTTTTGCCATATATCCCATAGGGATATATAATTACTTTTAGAGGAAGGAGGGGGGGGTTTGTACGGCTCATGAAAAATTTACAAATAATGCATATAAATAAGACGTAAAATGACACAATAACTTATAAAATGCATTTATAAAGTTTTATTAAGGAATAAGAATGATAAATATGTATACAAAGTAATAAATAATAATTACAATCTTTTACATGTATTACAAGTATTATGACATGAGGTACATATTTCATGTAACACGTTTATTGCATTTAGTGCATTGAATTCTATCTACGCACTTTGTACGCTTTGGGCATAAATCCCGTCCGCTAAAAAGGACGTATATCCAAATAGATGAGATATACAAGACAACAAACTCAACAAAGAATACAAGAGCAAAGTATTTTATTATACAACATTCTTTACTATTCCTCTACACTCATGTATCACGAAATAACCGCTAATTGTAAATCTTTTGCACGTCCTACAGTAATCATTTTATGTTGATTATAATTTATGATGGCGCTACTTAACGACAAATTGATTCAACTCACAATAGTTTCATTAATATTAACAATAAGAAACTGAAATCATAACAATATTAATATAACATATTAATATAACAATATTAATATAACATAAAGGCATGCAACAGAGTAGTTGCGAGAAAATTATCCCCACTCCTTCTATTTTTTCTGATTTCTGTGGCATAAATCTCCAGCGCGGCGTATTTGCTGGAGTTACCCTATATAATTTTGTATGTGATGGCCCTTAAGTCTTAAAAAAATATTAATGCATAAAAATATAAGAAAGCTTTTTTTTTAATTTTTATTATAATAAATATGTAATAAATATACAAATATATATAAATATATATAAATATAAGTATATATAAATATAAGTATATAAATATATAAATTATGAATTAAGAACATTTGACACAAAGTTTTATTTTAGTTTATGTAAATGTTCAAAATATTTTTGAAGCTTGAAAAATTATCTTTTTCAAAATACGAAATACTACTTTTTCGTTATCGTATTCTCATAAAGCAAAGCCTGGAAAATTTCTAAGTGAACAGTCGGCATGAACGTTTATTTACTAAAATGTAGCAGATTGCAACGTGGATCGCGATGGCTTATCCCACTTGGATAGTATTCTTCAGTAACGAGACCAAATTCGAAGACTTTTTCTTTGAAATATACGTACCATTTGACTGTAAGTTCATGGTGATTCAGAATAGCCCCAATGTAATCGGCAGAGAAATCATCACTGAAGTTTATCAAGTTGACAAAGGAAGAGAATTAAGATCGTCGCAGTTCGGTATATGGGATATAAGGAATGGTCTGAAGGGTCCTAAGCATGGCCTATTTTTAAGAAGGAACAATCTTTTCGGCCAGAATATACGCGTTACGTCAATCCATGTAAGGTCGCTTATCCTATTTTTCGCATAAGGGTTATAATGATATTTATATTAATTAAATATGCAATTAGTGGTTAACTATTTGTTAAAAAGAAATAATAATATTTAAATTAATGATAATTAGTGGAATAACTTTTATCACCTTCAAAAAGGCGAAGATGATAATGATATAATGCAAAATAATGGTTATTAACGAAAGCACTGTTTTCAAAACAGTTTCTTATTAGAAATAAACTTTTACAAATTTTTTTATTCTATATCACACATGATATGATAGGTTTGAAAAGTACTTTTGTTAATTACTTATTACTTTGCGTTTTATAACATTTTATTAAAACAGAATTATATTTACAATTCTTAAAGCACCTTAATATTCGCTTTGGCATAATAATTTTATACGCATAGGACCCTCCTATCAGTTTGTTTCATCGCAATGAACGAAATGAAATAACAAAAATAAGTGGCTTTTTTGGAGAAGTAATACTACTATTGCAGGAGGCATTAAATTGCACGTAAGTATATTATCAGATAATAATAAAGGTTATATTGTATGCGTGAGAGAAATTATTATATTATATAAAATTACGCTCTGTAAATAAGCGCTATCAAACTTAACGATTATATTATATAACAATTTCCAAATAAAAAAATTTAATTTATTGACAAGTTAATAATTGTTGTAATATATTATATATATATATATATACATATACTGTAATATATATTTTATTAGTTTTCCATATCTTATCAATTTTTTTCAATCTGCTTCATCAGGTTTTTTTTACTTTTTGTCTTCTTCATTTTTCTTTTTATCTTCTTTTTCTTCTTTAATTTCAGCTTGCTTTTGTTTAAGCTCTTTTAATTTTATTAGATTATATGGTGGATTAAACCTAATTATATCATAGAATTCATTAAATAATTAATATAAAAGATCTTCTTCACCAAAACAAACCATAATATTCAATATAAAGAACGATCGATTTTGAATTAGCGTCTACTTTATGTAACAAATAAAATAACATATAGATCTATCACTATAGACATATATATAATCCATTTTATAAATAATAACAATAAATAATAATTTCTTAAATTGATGCAATAAATAAAATATATATTTTTAAAATATATTATTTTTTTTGCACGTTATTTAATTAAGTATGATTATTATTAAATTTGATAAAAATGATAATATGATATTTTAAAAAAGGTTACATTTTCCTTTTGATTCTTTTCAAATTAATCCATTTTATAGTAAGGTTGCGCAACATGACTGCTTCTTCATCCTAGATTTTTCTTCCTTCCTTTTACTTTATAATTGTTACAATAACTATTGTTGTTCGAAAAAAATTATCAATAATTCTGACATGATTTTCTGGTTATTTAATTTTGATTTTGACAGTTTTTTTGCTGTGAAGTTACTTCGGAAAAAACAATTGTCATTTGAAAATAATTGTTTATTCCATTCTTATATATGCTGCGGTAAAAATTCTGATAATAAAAACTGATTTTATTTCCAAATTTGCTACAGATTCACCTACAAGGAGGCCAAATCGTGGGGTATGTGTCTACCAAACGGATCGTGTACGGGTGCGATCGGAATGTTAATGAACAATGATGTCGACTTTGCGGCAACAGAGTTTATGATGACCTCGGATAGATTAGATGCTATCAGTTTTACAACGCCTATTTACACAACCAAGTAGTATATTCCTTCTTTAAAAATTCTAAATAATGAGATGTATCGAAATCTAAATCTAATCGATGTTTTAGTAACAAGCTTGAGATATTTGATATCTAGCCAAGAAAAAAATGTTTCATATATAATTATATAAAATAATATAAAATAATATAAAATTGTACAAAATTATACATTAAAATTTCAGGTAACATTTTTCCTCGGGTAATTTAAAACACTGTATCTATAATAAGCATCAGAACACGCAAAATATTAAAATATGTGCGAAATTAATAAGGTTTAAAGGATATTTATTAGTTGATTCAGAGACACACACAGACGATTTAAATTTAATTATTTAAATATGTTACATTGTGTCAAGTCCATTAAAAACAAATGTATATAAGCCAGATCATGATGTAAAAAGACTAATGCCCATTTCCACCAATGTAGATTAACTTTAATCTCGGTTCAACTTACTCTTCATCTTTTTCTGATTCCAAAAATTAGAAAAAAACAAAAAAGTAAGTTGAACCGAGATTAAAGTTAATCTACATTGGTAAGAAATGGGCATAAGTGTAATATTGCGCATAATAACAGTTGCATTTAATTATTTATTAGATACATTATGGACTTTCTACAATAAGCCACTGCTTAAGCTTTAAGTCTTAAATTGTAAAAAATTGGCCAATCATGGTCAATTATGTTTCTCACATTTGACTGTGATTGGTCAATATCTTACAATTTAAAACTTAATAATGACTTGTAGAAAATTTATTAGATTGTGTCGAATTCCTTAAAAGTAAATATACTCGCGAGTTTATGAATTAGATGTATCAGGTAACAAAATTAAAATCTTATTTATGTTCTTTCTGTTTTAAGATGCCGTGCGTATATTAAAAGACCTGCATCATCTGATGTAAAATGGGATGCCTACACGGCACCGTTCTCCACAAATATCTGGCGTGCCATCGCATTTTTCATTGTACTTACGAGCGGAACAATTGTGCTCATTCAGAGATTATTTACAGTAACATCTCCATATCTTCGAAATGACAACCGTTTAAGATTTACAGAAATTTTGTTTTTCGTCACAGGAGCGTTTTGTAATCAAGGTAGCTTTAACTTTTACGAGCCAATTGCTCGAGTGCTTGCGCTTTTCTTAATATATTATACTAATTTTTTTTTTAATATACGACCTTTATCTTTCTTATGAAAAATGGTATCAGGTATGAAACAATCTATACTGGATCCTGTGAGAATTGTGCATTTCATAATTCATCTATCGGCTGTCGTGATAGTAGCTGCGTATTCCGCTGCCTTGATTAGTTTCCTTACTGTTAAAACGTTTATCATGCCCTTTACGACTATGGATGGTCTTCTGAAGGATAAGACCTATCGTTTTGGCGTGATCGGAGACTCGGCAGATTTTAGTTTTTTTCAGGTGCTTAAAATAATTCCTAGATTAGCTTTGCTATAAAATCAGCGATCAGAGAAAAAGTACATTACATGTTTGAAGTAAAAATGCCGTAACAGTATATTTTATAATTAAAAACATTTTCTATTCATATATAAAGTACTAATTTATACGTTTTTATGAATTTTTTTAAAAACGAGTTAGTCTCTTTTCTTTTTCTCTATCCTCTTTTAACAGAAATTATATTTAGGAAAAGTTTCATGTACGACACATTGATTTATGATAATTTTATTATGACAGAATACATCGGATAAAATAATGAACGTGCTGTTCGATGAATTACTAATGAAGGAAACTGATTTACCGAATAATTACTTGGACGGCTTAGAACGCGTTTGTAAGGATGATAAATATGCCTTTATGACATTGGACAATATGGCAACATTGCTGCAGCAAAAAGTCGACTGCAAGTTGGAGCCATTGGATGTCATCACGCAGACTACCATAGCAATGGCTTTGCAACCAAACAGCCCGTACCGTGGTATCATTAACGCAAAGTGCGTGCAAGCTTTATTAAAATGAATTAAAATGATTAAGAATTGTTCCGATAAATACGTTTTATTTGTTGCAGTATTCTTCTTTTGAAAGACAATGGGATTCTGCAGCGATTGCTGGAGACACAATGGTCGGTTCAGCTAAGCGGAGGGAGTGTACGTATCCCTCTCATACATCACAAATTATTCAAAAATATTGCAGTAACATTGCAAATGTTGCAGCAATGTTGGTACAAATTTTTGTGCTGTACGAGTTGTAAATTTTGCTGACTTATCATCCGACAGATTGATACATTTATCTTTGATCGCAGGAAAAATCATCGTGGAAATCAGTCGAGATCGGCGATATTGTGCCGCTGCTACTTTTTATAATCGCCGCGGTGTTCATCAGCTGTCTCATCTGTGTTATGGAACGCGTCATTTTTATGAGCTTTTTCAACCGAATCAAAAATAAGTGAATAAGCCGCGGGTGTAAACTAAAAGTGTAAATAAGAGAGAATGCTACGTTGCTAGAATATTACATCTTGTTTAATAAAACCTCACAAAGTTCTCAGATGTTTAAAATTAACGTTTTTCATTATACTGATGTCTGCCTTCTATTTTTCCTGGTTTATAGATGCAAAATAAGTAGCGGATAAATTATTTCGAATTTTGAATTCTTCTTGTTGTGTTTGCTATCTCATGTAGCTTTACTTATATTGGTAGGACGAATACAAGTATAAACAGTCGAGGCAAAAACTCGTAGGATTTGCCTGGCAGTCGTTTCGCTAGTCACCGAGAAACAACATCATAATCGCGTTACATCTTGTAAGTTTTTCCATCAAATATTTATAATTTTGTAATTTTTATCAAATTAATAATATAATTAAAGTATTTGATATAATATTCTAATTATTGATTGAGATATAATATTTTTATACATATTTAATATAGTTATAAATTATATACGTTACACAGTTTATGATATTATTTGAAACATATAGAGGAGTGAAAGCTATACAGATGTATTATTTAATTATAATTTTGAAGAACAAAAAGATTTTTTTCAATATATTTGCTTCAGTAAATTGCACTAATGACTTCAAATTGATAGGTTTAAAAAAGTGATTTACATTACTATCGCTTTTATTCCTCCATATACATATATCACAAACATGAAGTATAAGGTAAACATCCCAATAATCGAACGTATATCTATGTTTGGTAACCTATAAAATTTTATATTTGTTTATATTATTATTAATCTCAAACGTTTTTAAAATAATCTTAAAATACGTTTAAATTATAATATTATAATAAAAAAAGCATTTGAAATTAATAATAATAAATCTTGTGTGAATGTCCGGACATAGGTATATATTTGGTCACTCACTGGTCTCTCTCTCTCTCTCTCTCTCTCTCTCTCTCTCTGGAACATTTACCTTATTAATATTATATCATTAATTATTGATCAATGACAAATTAATTTACGTATATTTTTTAGATGTCTAATCACGTCGGCGAAGATTCCTCAGACAGCAGAGTTAAACTAGCTACGAAATATAACATAATCATGGAGGAAAATATATACACAACGAAAAGTGGCAAATTATCCGAATTCAAGAACAGTGGAAAGAAGAAAGGCCTGTCACTAAGAAATACTGAAAATCATGTAGTTTACAATACAAAGATGGTGAAACAATACTCTTCCAACAGAGGAAAGTTTCAGATTTATTCCGAAGATAGCAATGAAAGTGGTCGATCACGATCCCGTGTGAGAAAAGATGTATCCAAAAAAAAAGAAATAAAAACAAGACGAGATAACGAAGTTACTCGAGTACTCAAAAAAACAACCGAATCAACAATCAAGCTCGAGAAACTTAATTCTGATTTATATATTTCACGCAGGTGAGAAGGATATACTGCGGAAAATTAGTTCCGTTGTAAAAACTTAAAGATTAAATTTGATGCTACTTTCTAACAATATATATATTTACAATAATATATATATTTATATACAAGGTGGACCCGAATGTTTTAGCTAGATTTCGAAATTTTATAGAAAATTTAATTTTGAACAAAAAATTTCCTATAAACGTGGATCGAAAAATGCGCTTCGTTAAAAAATTATTGTTCAAAAATCTCTGTACGATTATTTTATAAATTTTTATAAATTTACATTTTTATAAATATTATAGGGAATGTATACGTTTTTTAACAAAAAATACCAAAACAAGAGTTGTGCGGAATTAAATTTCTTATAAAATCTCGAAATTTGGCTGTAAAATGTTCGGGGCAATCTTATATATACATATAAAATAAAAAATCTTAATGAGATAATGTAAAAAATTGTTTTTTTTTTTTATTAGAGCACGTTCTTCAAGCAACTGTCGGCAGAATGCTCTTTTAGATAAAATTAACGTGAACAGCAAATTATTTAACAATCGGAGGTAATTATCTATACAAATTTTCAATAAATCTTTTTGTACACACATAATTCATAATATATTTGTGTATTATTTACTTTAAAATACAGAACAAAAAAAATATTGCATGGATAATTGTATAAATTTTATTTTCTAAATTATAAAAAGTTAAAGATGATATTCGGATTTTGCTATATTATCTAAGTGTATGTTTACATTTGTTTATATTTACTCTTTTGTTATAAACCAACTTCTTTTTATATGTTTTCTTTTTATATTTTCTGTGCTTTTTATTAAGCACTGTTTTCAGTTTATCATAATTCAAATCAATCAAATATACAAAACGAAAAACAGTCTCTTCTTATTTTATGCTGTGAATTTAGTCCTTCTTAGAGGTATTGATACAAAAATATTAATCGAAAGCAATGTGTAAGCTATTTATAAAACAGTGCATTTTATTGTTAAAGGAGCAAAAATTAATATATAAATATTACATCATTTTTTAATCTACTTATTAACATCTATTTACTTATATATTAACATCTACTACTTATATATATGTACTTGTTTTATTAATGTTTATTTTTATATTTTATGTTATATTTATCATGACATTAATTGATTATGTTTCATTCAGATCTTATTCCGAAAGCAGAGGAATTCCGTTGCAATGTGCACAAAGCAGTGTTGTTCAATTATCCAATATTCAAAAAATTAAACATCTTTCTGACGATGTTAAAAGACGAACTTCTTCTAGTATTCAAACGTGGAAAGAGAAAATGAGGAAACCATACAGTTAGTATATTTTAAGAGAGTATAAGAAAAATGTATATGCTTATATTAATTAGGAAGAAAGACTTTCTTACTTGTAAATCTTTTCAGCTGGTACCGTGCCTAAAAATAGGACGGCCAATACAAATTTAAATAACAAAACTCTTTCATTGGTTGGTATCAATAAAATTAATTCCAGAACCAACTTGCAAAAGAATTCTATTACTGGATCGATGAATTTGCAATCTGAGCTATTACAAAATGCGAATGAAGGTAGTGAACAAGCCCAAAATATCGATTCCTTGAAGAATGCACTTCAGCAGATATCAAATGAAATTGAGATATATCTGCAAAATAATAAGTTATCTTCGACAATACAAAATGATACTAATAAGAGGTAAATCATAAAAAATATAAAAATAAAATAAAATAAATCTCTTTCATTATCACATATTATTTAATTATTAATTAATATATTAGGTGTTGGAATTAATTCGTAGCGTTTTACAAGTGATGGGAAGTACTTTCATTAATGTATTTTTTAATGCTCATGTGAAATAAATAACATTCTTTCATTAAAAAACGCTACGAATTAATTCCAACACCTAATATAAAATTATTTCTACACACGATAAATTACGGGAAAGCAAGTATGCGGAACACGTTTTGCCGAGTCTTAAATTGTTGCAAACATTTTTTTTAGAAACTTTATTTCTGAAAACGCTGACAATAATCTATTAGACGTTACACTTTTTAGCTCTAATAGCGTAACACCTTTAGATGGCTCTATCTCTCTGCCATTAACTCCAACAAAGGTAAAAAAAATGTAATATATATAAATAGCACAAAAATATATGTTCATGTTCATTTGTTAAAAGATTAGCATCGTGATTTTTTAAAGCACAAATTGATATTAGATTAAAAGACAAATGAAATATACTTTTAAAATAGGCTTGCAATTACTTATTGTCAAGCTTATATGCTATAGTATTAATATAATATATAAATATATAAATATATTATAAATAAATTATCTTATACCATCCACTCGCTGTGTATTTAACAATGGTTTTATCAAAAAGGTGCATTACGAAAAATGTGTAATGACACGGAAATTAGCAATTAAGAAGGAAAACGAGTATGATGTTATTTGCGAAACACCGTACGAACGTGATTACTTGGAGGATATACCAGAAACGGAACATAAGAGGGATATCAACGCTCCGAGGCTTTCCCCTCAATTTCTGCGTGAAAATGTAAATGCAGAACAGAGGAGAATCGTTGTAGGATATATTATTCGTCTTGGTGTAAGTGTAATATTGAATAGTTACGGACATTTGATTAACTCGTAAGTGATACCTGGATGCGGATTCGCATTTGCAAACTTTTCAATTTGTGGATATTTGAGAAAATTGATTTTATTTAAACCCGCAGTTTTGGATGAATAACATTTTGTTTTCTGAAAATTCAATATTGCCAATCAATTAGTTAAAAAGTTTTATATTGAAAAATGTAGGTTTTATTTTAATTTTGTTTTTAACTTTTAATTTAGAAGATATAAAATATTAAAAACGCCTAATGCTAATTCGCCTCGTGCGAATCCAAATGTTTCTTTACGAATGCTGGAACAGTACAATGTTTTTTACAAATTAATATAGCATTAAAAATTGGAAAATGATATAAATATTTGTTTTAGAATTGTAAATTTACAAAAATAATTTTTATCTTTATTAATGACAAGGTCAAGCCACTAACATTAGATTTTTTTTTATTACTTAGATTACATAGACTAAAAAAACATATTTATCAAAATTATATCAATCTCAATCTCTGTTGTACATATAATTACGATCACTTTCAGATACACTGCTACTATTCGTCGCATGTCATTTATCAGACTGTCAAACTATTCAATGTAGCTATTGATCGAATTCATGTGGGAATTGATGATATACAATTAATAGCTCTAGCGTGTCTTTGGATAATTCTCAAGCAAGATGCACCTAGTGATAAAATACCATCGGTAATAAAACTTTTCGTCCAGAGGAAAAGATTGAAAGATAATGTTACCATAACTAACTGATTAAAATATATTGCAATTTTTTTTTTAATATAAATTCGTTAAATATCTAATGGAATCAAATAATCTCTCTTTTTAGGCGACTGTAATTCTGGAATTGGCGAAAGATTTATACAATAATCAAGAGAAAGATTTGTTAAAGTATGAAAAGAAGATTCTCTACACCGTTAAATTCAATACACGATTCGCTGATCCATTCTCGTTGCTTTCATATTATATATTGAATGTAAATCAAGACAGTCGATGTAATATTATTAAACCGAATGATATCGCATGTGTCTACTTTTGCGGTAGTTATATGGTAGTTTATAAACACAAATACTATATAGCGATTCAATTTTTAATATACAAACTGTACATAAAAACAGATAATCTTTTTTTACAGATCGATTCATCTATGCTGGATGAAAACTTATGTGAAACTCCAGTGTATATAATAGCAATAGCTGCAATAGAGTTGTCGCTTCGTATTGTATATTTGAGCGACGTTAACGTAAATCTAGAATGGTATCAAGTTTGGAGAAATAAACAATCACTCATAGAGTAAGAAAAAGATTAGCAAATGCGCAAAATAGATATTCTGCTTTTTGTTTTTAACGGATATATTTGTAATATTTTTCTTAAACAACAAACATATTAATCTTGCAATAAAGAAAATACAATTTGACACGATCTGCAAGAAGAAATTTATTAATTTAAAATTAATTAATTAATTTGAAATTAGTTAATTAAGTAATTTGAAAATAATATATCTAAATTTCTAGTTTAATTGTAAATATACATAATTGATGTTTATATTTATTAATAATGAAAACACTGTCATTGATGTTAGGTATTAATTAATTTAAAATTAATTAATTAATTAGGAATTAAGTTGAAATTCTTAAATTCACAGTTCATTTATATTTTTAGATGGGAAGAAAGAATGTTGAATTCTACGAAGCAGATTATGATACAACGAATTGTAGAATATAAGGATTTCGGTGCAAATGTTATATACAAGAAATACATGCGTAGCAAACACGGTAAAGTCACCAATTTTCTTCATAATAAATTGAAGAATATCTTGTGATGAAAGATTAGATAATGTCTAGTTAAAATTATCACTTATCCCATGATGCTATCGATGGACGTTATTAGATCTCTATTTAACGAGAAAAGTAGGAACATTAGATCATTAAATCTCTGGCTGTCACATCGTCATCGAAAGAGCATTTGCAAAGCTCGATATACCTGATCGTGATCAAGAGCATGTCAAAGAGGGACACTCATTGGATAATTGTTAAATGCTGCTTAGACATTATTTATTTTGTTATTAAACACGTTTTATATTCAGATCGCGCTGGTCGCGTTTACATTTTATAGTTTACAAAAAATTTGTTTTCTTATATTAAAAATATTTATAAAAAAAGCTAAAACACATTTTTAAAAAATTTTATAAAGATGATGTAGGAATTAAGATATAATGTACACGCATGCTCGGAAAATATATTTTTTATTATCGAAAATTTAAAGAAGCAAGCGTCTGTGATTCAACAAGTCTTCACGCTCAGCATTATTCCTTAAAAGATTGGTCGTGACATTGAAATGTGTAATCCTTATCGCGATAATATGCTATTTCTCAATGCGTTAACATAAGCGAGGTTATCGGTATTTTATTTGTTTTATTTCTAACAGTCCTTTCGGGTTATTAATATATTATGACTTAATAATGATTTTTTAGCAATAGCAACAGAGTAGCAATATCACATATACTATAATTAAAAGCTATCAAGTAGTGTTTGATTCTTAATTGTCAAGTTTTAATGAGTGCCGTAGTCCTGTTGAATGTCTGCCCAAGAATTCCACTTGTCCCACGTGTTATCGGTGGACATTAGTTCCTTCACGTCATCCTAAAGACAGTGACATAACATTTACTCTTCGTACAAATAAACATATATCTAAATTAACAATATATGATCATCGAATTTAAAAAAACAACATATTGCAAGGAAAATATAATCATTTTTTATGATGCTATATATAATAAATTGTTATTTTTTCGTCTAAGATAGAATTTTATATATATATGTAATATATTCTTGTTATTAGTATATTTTTGCTATATATATACGTGCTACATTTATAATAGCAGTATTTAATATTAGATATCCTATTTGATACACTTAATATAAATTAGATTAGACTTTCGATTAAACTTATTATTTTAGCTAAATAGGAAATGATCTTACCTTGAATAATACATTAGGCTTGTCGCCCCAGGCACCAAAGAGGCGTAGCAGATCCGGATTTTTGGAGTACAATTTACTCGCAGCCAAAATGCCATGTTTCAATTCTTCGAGGGCGTTTGGGCTTTTCCCAGCCGAGCTAACAATTATTCTTGGTGGTTCCAAACCTAAATTACAACGTTCCCATTCGTTGATGGGTGCTTGACCACCATTTGGACAGAGCAAGATGTAATCTTCGAGTTTGCCAGCGGCATCCTTCTCGTTATCTATAATTTGATATATAACGTCCAGAAACGATATAAGTATAATTACATGTGTAATTTATTTAACACAATTGTGTTTACCAAGTTGCTGCAAAGCTGTCAAAGATAGGAATGCAACGTCACCCTTGCCATCCTTCAAACATCTGAAAGAAATTAAACAGTCTCTTTAATATGTTATCTCTTTGGAGATAATAAAATTCTCGGTAAATATATTATTTTTATTATCAAGTCGCAAATACTGTGTACGCAATTTATTTTATTTAAGTAAAATCGAGTAATTCCTATTTTATTTATATATAAATTAGTCGAAGATACTTGCATAAAAAATAATAAAGGGATGATATTACCTGAGTGCTCCTTTTCCGCCGTTGTAATATTCAGCATTCGTAGGTTTACATTTCGTTGCTTCTTTAGCCTGATCGTCGTCGATCTTGATATTACCAACACATAGTTGACAGAATTTTGAATTGAGAGGTGCACCAGGTGCACAGGATTTAGAGAAAAAGGTATTTATTTCGCTAGGTTCATTAATAAGACCGTTAAATTTGAGTATGTGAGCTGGTGCAGTGTAACCAGCAAAATCGCCTTCGTAACCGCTGTGGCAAGATGGTTTGTCTTTAAGATCGCCTGTGAACGAGAATATTGATAATTATGCATGAAAGAAATTTGTATAAGCTCTTTTAAATTTATATATGTAGAGCTAATTTTTTTACAAACTTTTTTAATTATTTGAATAACTCATTTTTTCTTACAATTTTACTTTCATATTGATAGTTTTGTTAAATTAATATTTTTATTAATGTAAAATCAGTCCTAATTTTTAATTATATATTTATCTCTTATATATTTCACATAATTTTATGGAATTTATAGATTGTATCGTACCCAATCCATTTATGGAGGAGCCGCTCTTGATAACAGCAAGTGCTGGTCGCTCGCTGAGTTTCGTGGATCCCTCACCATATGTCTCAGCGACGATTGGTTTTATGTTGTATTCATTAATTGCACGTTTTACTGATCCGCCGTCGATTATTGTGATATCCGCTCCATTATCTCTGACAGCTTTCAAGCAAGCAGCCTCGTCTTTTTCCAGTATGCAATCAAATCTGGGTCTGGCGTCTCTATATAGATTATGGTATATGTAATATATGGTATATCAAGATATAATAAGAGTAGAGTTGTATGTATAAATTACATAAAAAAGTAACGAAGTTTATTTAGTTAGTTAGCGTCATAAAAAAATTGCAACGTCATTATCAAATTGTTTATTATAAAAAGTAACGACATGATATAAACGAGAAAGTAACTTTTAACAACCCTGAATAAGAGTGTTTGTATTTTCATAATCTAAACAATGTAATTTCTATCAAGGCATGAAATCGATTTCTCATTTATTTACATTCTAGATATTTAATTAACAAACATTTGTTAGATTTTAGATAATAGTGAGAGTAGATCAATTATGACACGAATTATGATTTTAATTAGATTTAGATAATAGAACAACTAAGAAATTAAATTTGTTTTGCTTCGAGACACCAAGTTAGATTGATCGAAAATTGACATTTACGTGTTTCGTGACTATACCTAGAGAAAGCTGCTCTAGCGAGGCTGCGACACTTGTTCAATGCATTTTCGCCCCAAACACACCAACGAGCGTCTCTTTCCGGCGCTCCGGAATTTCTCTCGATCACGTCCATGTATTTCGCGCTTTGCAAATGCTCATCCGGTGATACTGGCGGTGCAGCGACAGCCAAAGTCTTCTCGTTGAGAAGCAAGAGATCTTCCCACCAATCTGCTTTCTCATTTTCGCCAAGCTGACCTAGCTGCGTTAATTCCTGAAAAAGATTCCAAAGTTAAATCGCAATCTGTTCAATGCAGTGTAATAGTTACTTAAAAAAATAATTTCTTAATTAAACCTATCCTTTGAATTCTTGATTCACTTGTCATTTTTATTATGATAATTAATTTATGGTAATATTTAATGTGTTAATTACTATTCAATAATGTGAATTTTGGCTAATGTTTGAGAAAACTAATTATTGTTTTCTAGAAGTTAAAGATAATATTTTTATCACAAATTATAATGTATATCTTTTAAAATTTTTTATACTATGTCACATAATATAGGAATGATTTTGTTCAAACAATCTCTTTATTATTCCATGTAACATTCAATTAGTCATTAAAAACATGTAAAATAGATTCTTAAGAAACAAATCACGTACTCTTTGAATTGCTTCCGCATTGTTGGTATCAGCTCCATTGGTCATGTATCCTTGCCACGGTCGGGCAGCCCACGTGCATGGTTTCGTATTTGCGTCGATAGGTACTTTGCTGCCGTCTGGGCAGAAATACCGGAAGTCAGCCGGGTTTTCGGATGTTGGCGTTGCCGGAGTAACTCCGACGGGCAGACCGAAGAAACGCTTCACATAGATGACTTTCGTCCAGGCGACGTCGCCGCCGTTGTGAGCCAGACAACGTAGAGCTCCCTCGTAACCGGAATATATGTCTGGATAATCGCACACGTTTGGTTTCTCGCATAGAGCGCACATATTGCTGTACGTCTCCTCTGAAAGAACGAAAGTAATAATAAAATAATACAGATAGAATAAATAGGGCAACGTGAACGAGCAAAAATGTAATTCTTGCTTTAATTAATCGTATATATATATATATATAAAATAAATTTAATGTGCAGGACGTTTTAATCTAATTAAGTCCTCTTCAACTGCAATATCACAGTAATAGTAAAATATTCATAAAATATCTAATTAGAAAATTAATAGCTTATCATACCTCTCAATTAGCGTTTTCAATATTTTTTTTTAAAGTATCTTTTTTTAAATAGAATTTTTATTTATCCAATCCATGAATTTGAAATGTGTCAAGTTTCATAAACACAAAAATAAATATCGAATAAAACTCGACGCATTCCGACGCATTTATCAATACTTTAATATATACTTTAATTATTTCGCCATTATGTGAAAGAGAAAAGTCAACTGCAATCAGAAGAAATAGTTACGCAACATAATTTTACTTTCTACTTAACGTAACTCCTTCACTCGCATCGCAGTTTATTGAGCCACGGTCACTTTAACTCGCACGATTGCAAATTGACTTCAAATAAACACAAGAAAATTAGTGTCTTGAAAGAAGTGAGTCGGTCTAAGTACGCGTTATTTCAATTGATGATATTGTTTGCTACACCTATATGACACAATCGCCTCAAATTTCGAAGATTACTGCCACTTACTGAGCCTCTGATTGATGGTAGGATCGGGTGACCATGTGCCTACCAAGCAACCTTTGTCGAAGAGTGTGCTTAGAGCTCGAAGTTCATTCTCGCGAGCGGAATATTCCGGATTGTTGATGTCAGTCAACACGCCCATCGCGGTGAGTTTCGTGATGGGAATTTTGTAGCCGACATTACGGCCCACACCAGTGTGGCAGGACTTAAGACCTTTCAAATCCTGAACGTTGTTAATGTCCAGGTCCTTGTGTATTACGGCTACCGCTTCGTAACGATATATCGCATCAGGTTCTTCCTTCGTTCTCACCTAACAAAAAAAAAATATATTTTTCTGAACAATTTATATGATAAATAATATTCTGAATTAAATATTTTATCGAACATCCGACCGCAATTTAGAACAAAAAATGTATTTGCCAAAGTTTTACATAAATCTATTTCGATTGAAAAAAAAAAT